TATATATATATATATATATATATATATACACACACAATTCAGGTCAATTCTAATACACCATTAAATTTACCTGTTGAATATTTCTAGAAGTCTGATTGTAAGCAAGATTTTAGTCTAAACTTTCAGAATCAAAGCTTTAGGAGTTACAGTGTAAAATAATTTTGTAATTTTGGTGGTTGAGACAAGAGTATGTTATAAGAATTAATGGCCTTCAACTTTGTGTTTCTATCTTTTCTATTTATAAGCAATTCATAAAAGAACTAAAAGTGGTTTGGGTAAGAGTTCCATATGGCACCCCCACTCAATCTTAAAAAAAATTCATCAAAGTAATATTTATGTATTAATAAATCATATTAATAGTATGATCTGATAATTTTAATACATTGTTATACCACTTACTTCATTAGTTAGATGTACAACCTTTTTGGGGATAAACATCCAGGCAATTCTACAATTTTTGGGTGGGGGTGCCATATGGAACTCTTTCCGTGGTTTGATTCGAGTATTCACTACCACTTGGGGTTAGACAAACTGTTCGTGTGACATCTGATTGGACGATAAGGCTAGAAACGTAAACATGAATATCTCCAGTCTTCTCTAGAAGAATTATCGTTAAAACTTTTGTTGGTTGACACATCTCATACAGGGGAGTGAGTTGTTATATTTAGTATGACTGAGCTGATTTGTTTTTTTGTTACAATAGGTGGAGGGGTAACAGTAGCGGTATAGTTGACCTGTGATATATGTGGAAATGCTAAAATTTTAGTTACTAACGGTTAGCTGTTACATTGTAGGTGTGAGTTGGAGTATTTGTACAAATAGAAACAGTCAATCTGTTTGTATTACTTATGTTATCAACATCAGTTTACTAAACTTGTACATCTTGGTTATCACATAGTTTGTTTATGGTATAAGGTATATATATATACAGAAATGCATATCATGTGCTTAGTACATGCTTAAAAAACTAAGGCTTTTATTATTGTTTCAAGTTTGAACTTGGTCTATAATTGTAAATATGTTGTAACATGTCTTCGTATATCTTACAGCTATTAATTATACCACTACTGTGAATTAAGGTGAAATATTAAGAATTTGTTCTTAAACAAAATTCATTGTGTAGACTTAACGTTAGCATTTAATCATTGTTGAAACCTTTAGTTTATCAATAACTGTTTCAGTTATAAAAATGTATTACTGAGCGCTTAAGTTTGTTAAACACGTTTTGAATGCATTCTTGGTACTTGAATAGGAATTTAAAATAGTATCAATATAATTATGTAAGGTCAATGACAGTGAATTATATATATATAACTTTATTGATTTTAATAATCAAAAATTCATTCACTTTAATCATTCCTTGCTTTCTTTTTTTTTTATATTAAGTATATTGTTTATTTTGAGATTTATTTTCCATAATTGTGATAATTAACAATAACATTAATCTAGCAGTGTGTGATAATTAACAACAACATTAATCTAGCAATGTATTCTAGTGCCCAGTAATATAAAATTAACCCTCAACTGGTTGGGTCAGGTCAGAATAAGCCACAAACAATTACAACAGTAAGATAGAGAGCTGTGACAGCACATCCATCCTGCTCAACACTCAATAACTGATTGATGATATAGTACAGAAAATACCAGGTAGAGAGCAGCACTAGCCGAGTTGGAATATCGACTTGAAAAATCAACATGGGTTATTCTGACCCAACCTTACTAGTTGAGGATTATTATGAGAATGTTAGCTCCTGGTGGTGGTACATTGTACTAATACTTTAAGTACTTGTACATTCTTTGTAACTGAGGTTAGAAGCTGTGTTATGGTGACATGAATATCAAACTATAGCCTGCTTAGTTAAATTATTTAGTATATTTAATAATATCGTTTCATCTTCTACCTTAAAAAATCTTAATCATTTTTGGACTGTGAATTTAATTTAAAAAATATAAGTCCCAATCTGGTCAATTGTAATGTACTTTGTTTTCACTTACTAAAAAATATATATAATGGTAAAACAAACATAATCCTCCTAGTATTATGACTTTGACTTGCCACCATGCAAGAACTTGTGTTTACTATTTTAAAACAAATTAAAACATGAAAACAATCAAAGTTTTAATAAAACCAAACATAAACATAAAACAACTTAATAACTATATCTGCTTATATACAATGATATGAAACTCATTTACCCTGTTAAGGACACACATAAACCCAAACAAGAAACTGCATATATATATATATATATCCAGTGACAAGAAAACCGTTTAGCTTATCAAAGACACACATAAACCCAAACAAAAAACTGCATATATATCCAGTGACAAGAAAACCGTTTAACTTGTCAAAGACACACATAAACCCAAACAAAAAACTGCATTTATATCCAGTAACAAGAAAACCGTTTAACTTGTCAAAGACACACATAAACCCAAACAAAAAAACTGCATATATATCCAGTGACAAGAAAACCGTTTCACTTGTCAAAGACACACATAAACCTGGGCCATTTTAACT